CTCTCTCTCTCTCTCTCTCTCTCTCTCTCTCTCTCTCTCTCTCTCTCTCTCTCTCCATGGCTCAGGGGACATCATGGAAGAGGAGGCAGAAAGAATGTAAGAGCCAGAGGATAGGGTGGAGTGTTGTGGAATGCTGTCTTCCAGACATAGCATGACCAGTTTCACCCTCAAACTCACCGTTGCTATGATTGCTTGCACAAGACCAAGCCAGCAAGAGCAGTCAACATTCCAACCAGCAGCACCAGGTGGAAGCGGACTTGGTGGTTCCTGGGAGCTGATCACTAGGGTGTGTACGATGGAGTTGCATTGTTTACATGTTTGAAGTTGTCAAGGAATAACTAAAAATATTCTTTACACAATATGGCTGACCACTTGGCCAGAGAGACAAGACTGATTTCCTGAATAACTGACTGCCTTTGTCCCAGCTTCCTGGTAAAGCCTGCTGGTGGGAGTTGGTATGCGAAGGTTGCCATTTTCCTGCCGACTCAGATCTCAGGCTCTCTGAATAGAGCTCAGCCTGAGGATTCATCTCCTCCTGTGCTCCTTGTGGCCAAGAGTGGGAGCTCTGGTATCCCACTTTCAAGACCCAGGCTTGGCAAGACTTGAGATTTGGATGTAGTCTGGATCTGATTTTTCCACCACCCACTGCCAGCCGCTGAAAACTTGGCCTGGTCTGCGGTGGGAGCCGGGTCTCTAGAAGGGAGCTCAAGCCACCCCAAAGGATGTCACTATATCAAGCCAGTGGGTCTCAGAGGTCGTATCAGTCAGGTTAAGCTGGAGCCATGATGTAAAAGAGAAACTCCCCACATCCCAGTAGCTTAAATGGCATAGGCTTGTTCCTTGATGCTATGTATCCATTGCAAGGCAGGCGGTGGGAAGGGGGATTCTGTGGCTTGTGGTTGCTGCAGAAATGTAGTTGGTGGAGGAGAGCTTCAACTTGCCAGCTCCCGCTGGTTGCAAACCACAGGCTCTGCCTGGAGGTGAGCCTGACATGTCGCTAATCAGAGCAATGCTGGCCTGCCTCCCAGCCAGCAGGCTGTCACCAAACTGTGAGGGTTCAGTCGAGCAGACATTGTATATTTTGAATAGCCCAACATATGACAGGGCACAGGGGAAGCTGCTGGCTGGGAATAGCCAGGACCTGGCCGAGTCTTCCTCCTCCAGGGCTGAGTTCATTCCAGCAGGAGTAGGTAGGCCTCAGAGCGAAGACTTGGGGAGTTTTTGTTACCCCGTGAGCTCTCTCTGCTTTCAACTTTCTCAGCCAACTGTGAGATCCAGTTTAGAACTCAGCCAGGCCTGGTAATTGCACCTTCATCCTATCCTGGTGTCAGGGTGCAACAGCAGCCTTGGGGCCGCCTGGTACGGTGGCTCAGAGAGGGAGGGGATTTGCCACCAACCCCGAAGGCCTGACTTTGATCCCTGGGCCCTGGGCACCACAAGGTGGAGGAAGAGACCTGAGTGCCACACACATTGTCCTCTGGCCTCCACACATGCACTGCAGCACACACACACGCACACCACACACACACACACACACACACACACACACACACTCACGATACATAATTTTTTAAAAATCAGAATCCAAATACGAGTGTTTTTAAAATTGTCGGAACTAAGAGAGAGAGCAAAGTAAAGGGAGGAGGGAAACAGACTTTAAAAGAAACGAATGGAAACCAGAGCAGCCCTGCCTGTGCCAGGAGTGTCAGATGAATAAGGCAGAGGGATGGATGGGTTGGAAACTGAGTATGCTGTCCGCCATCAGAAACAGGGAACAGGAGGAAGGGCTTCCTCTACTCCTCAGGGCTGCTAAGCCCTCCTCAGCAAAGCCCAGGGTTTTGTTGTGATGGGTTATGGCTAGCAGGAGGGGTGTGTGTGTGTGTGTGTGTGTGTGTGTGTGTGTGTGTGTGTGTGTGTGTTCCAGGTCCCAGGCACTTGCCTTCTTTTGGCTGGACTAGGCTGGAGCTTATCTTGTGACCCCCCAGCTGTCCCCATAGAGGGGTAGCTGTCGCATTCTTCAGGAATGAACTAATGATGGTCTTGTGAAGGTTCCACATTTATTTCTCAGGGCATCAGCAGGACAAGCAGAGACCTCAGGCCTGGAGGCAGGTGGCCGCCTGGGGCCAGCTGAACCTTTGAAAAGTTGTCCAAGGCCGTCTTGGGCCTTGCTGAAGGCCATTCATTTCCAGCCGAGACAACTCACATCCCTGCAGCCAGCCCAGAGTTCAAGGCCTTCCAGAGGCTGTGAAAATGCCTTGTGGAATCAGGTTGTCGAATCCCCGCTGGCGGCAGCTTCAGGTGACCCCACATACTCACAGTTTCTGGGGTCTCATTACTAATCCATCAGGTCCGGGGAACTCCAGTTTTAAGACGCTGAACAGGGGAGGGGCATTTCCTACCAAAAACATCCAGAATGTTCTCACCCTTGTTACTGAATCTTCCCTTGCTGAGTCTTTGGGAAGTGGATACTGTTAATAAAACATCTACCCATTTTTCCATTTTGTAGACATCAATATCAAAGTCCAGGATGGCCTTTGGACGACAGGGATTCTCAGTCACATTTTGTCATTGAGGGCTCTCTGCTGCCTCCCCGGAATCTTCCAGAATGGGCTAGCCAGGCCTACTGAGGAAAACCAAGGAACTCATACAGTTTGTCAAGTGGATGGTCTCAGGCCTGGGAACATTCAGAGGCAGGCAGCAATCCAACCCCCTCCCGGACCTCTGGTGCTTTTAGCTTTCGGGGAATCAGGCTCGATTCTTTTGGCCATTAAGGCATGGCCTTTGAGTCAGAAAATTCAGAAGTGCCTAGTCCTCACCCCGGAAGGAAAGCAGTGAGGGGGAAGGACCCTTCAAAAATGAGGCAAGGCCTGTAGGAAAGGCCTCCAGGGGTGAGTCACCCTGGGCACCAGGCCGAGCTGCTGTAGCTGCAGCCGCGTGGGCCTGTAGGCCATGAAGCTGCTGTAGGGAGCAGATGCTCCCTCATGGGGCCTCATGGGTACCAACAGGGCCTGTGGGGCCACGGCTCTCCGGGGGCTGTGATAGGGCTGAAGCCTTGGGACCGCGGGTGGGATGGGGGCCAGCGGACTGCCCGGCCCTGAGGATGTGGACACACTCTGGTTGAGGGTATGGCTGCCGGTCGACAAGTTGCTGAAAGGGTTGGAGGAGGCGCGGTCACTGGCAGAGCCGCTGCTCCCACTGAGGTGGCCATTGGGGGCTCCTGGACTCTTGCTGGGCCGGAGTGGGGCCACTAGCCTCGGGGACTTCAGGCCCATCACTGGCTTGGAGGAGGCGTAGAGGCGTCGAAACTCCTCATCAAACAGCTCCACAGCCTGGCCGGTGAACTTGGAGAGGATGTTCCTGTGCACGTGTCCACAGAGCCAAGAGAAGCTGGAGGGGAGAGGAGACAGTGAAGAGTCACAGCATCAGTCTTGGGTTTGTGCGACCCTCAGAGCCGCTCACCCGGGCCACTGGTCCTCTGCGCCATCTGAGCAGAAGCCCTGATAACTGGTTATGTGAACCCTGCATAGCTTCGTCTCCCTTTCTGCAAACGGCAGCGCAGAGGCCCAGAGACCAGGACACGCTCGCAGATGAGTCACTGAGGTGTCGGAATAAGTCTTTGGCTTCAAGGTTCCTAACATCCCCAATGCATCCACCCACTCACTTTGCCTGCACACACAGACACAGAGACAGACAGACACCCCCCAAGGCTCAGAAAATGGCTGTGTGAGCTGAATCGTCTCTACCTCCATTCAGGAGTCATCTGATGGCGCTAGTATTGGGGGCCTTCAGTGTTCCCACCTGAAAGATGGGGCACCTGCCTCCTGCCAACATTTATCAGTTAGGAAAATTGCTCCCCAAACAGACAAAAGGGTTGGGACTGAGAGTGCTGGATGGCCCTGCTGTTTTCCATGAAAATCTGCCCTTCAGGCTCAGAGAGGTGGCACTGGCCTTTTGTCTCAGGGCTCAGGAAGTTGAGGAAGGAGGATGACTGTGAGTTCCAGGCTAGCCGGGCTATACAACAGGACCCCGCCAAATAAATAAATGAATGAATGAATGAATGAATAAACAAACAAACAAACAAACACAAATAGTGCTATTGAATGAGGATTTAGCTCATTTTTCTCCTTGAAAACAAAATACTCTCTGAGGCATTTATGCCTTATTTTTATGATTCTCTTATTTTAGCAAAGGCTTTTGGATCTTGGATAGAAAACCTTCTCGATTTCCGGAGAAGCTGAGGACAGAAGAGATGCCTCGCCAAGAGAAGGCGAGGGATGCCAGGCTCCCTACTCAAACAGGCCATCCCTAGAGTAGGGAATGGTTGGTGCAGAGGGATAGCCAGAACAAGCCGGAGTCCTCAAGGTGTGGGTCGTGCCAGAGCCGATGAGAGCCGGGCCTCCAAGGAAGGGCCTCTGCTCCTAGCCCCCTGCCTGTCAGCCTTGCCATCCCGCCCTGGCCCCAGACCCCGGCTGGGTTCCCTGTACTGTGGACAGGCTCACACAAGCCAGGCTAATCCCCGGAACAATTGGGATGCTTTGTTCAAGCTTCTCCTCCCACCCAGGACACCCACAGCTGGAGATGGCGGCAGCCTGGCAGCCTCGGAGGCTGAGCTCAGGCAGGCCGGCCAGGAGGCGGGGAGCGGGGTGAACAATCAGGCTTGGCTTGGACTGGGAAACCAATCTCGCAGCGTTGTTTGGAATCAGACAAGATCAAGACACATAGGTGTGTACTTTGTTCCCCAAAACAAGCCCAATGACGCCCTAGGAACGCCTTAGGCCGGTGGTTCTCAACCTTCCTCCGAATGCAGTGACCCTTTAACATACAGTTCCTCAGGCTGTGGTGACCCCCGGCCATAAAATTATTCCCATTGCTACTTTGTAACTGTGATTTTGCTGCTGTTATGAATCATAATGTAAATATCTGATATACGGGATATCTGATATATGACCCCCGTGAAAGGGCTGTACAATTCCCATGGGGTCGCGACCCACAGGTTGAGAACCATGGTCTTGGGCCCTTCCAGCCCCTGGGTGCCCCCTATTCACTCTGCATTTATGTATTACTGGGCTCATATGCTTCTTTCACTAAACCCTGGGGAGGGAATGACTTTTTCTGTGTGCCGAGTTTGGGCCCTGAAGGCAAAGCGTCACAAGCTTTGTCTTGTAACCCACTCTCCTCCCTGGATAAATAAGCCTATCGATGGCTTATTTAATTCATGCATCTATTTATTTTCCTCTTCTACATAATGGCATTAGCACGGCCGGAAATGAAAGCTAGCTGCCTTTAAAATCTTGTCTATTTATTACTGTGCATGCTGTGTATGATACATGCATGAGTGCAGGCAGAGTCCTGCTACGGTGCCTATGTGGCCGTCACAGGACACCTTCCAGGAATCTCCTTCCACTGGTTGGTTCTGGGGCCAGCACTCAGGTCATTAGGCTGGCACAACAAGCGACTGTACCCACTGAGCCATCTCAGCAGCCTGGACTCTGGGTCACAGCCCACACCTAGTGGCCTGGTCCTCCCAGCGGCCTCGTCCTAGGGTCCCGAGCTAGGAACACGTCAGTGTGATGTGTGCCTGTGCCAGTTACATCACGGTGACCAAAACTGTGAGAAACAGCTCCGGGGACAACAGCTTTGGTTTTGGTCGCGGTGTCTAGGATTTGAGTTTGTCCCAGGGAAGGCATGGCAGTGGGTTCGTGGAGGCCGGGACTTGTGGCGGAGATGTTCATAAGGTGATGGAGCAGAGAGAGCCAGGGCCAGGCCGTAACCTCCAAAGGCACACCCCATTTAGCCTAGTTCCACCTTCGAGGCCCCACCACCTACAGGTTCCACGGCCCTCCCAAACAGCAACACTGCCATAGAGAATCAACGTCTGAAGCACAAGCCTGCGGGGACAGTTTAGATTCAAACCATACCGCCAAGCTCTGCTTTCCTAGGCCATAGATAGAAATAATGCCTTATACTTCCATTTATTCTTAAAAGTAAATATTTCAATTTTTGTTGTTTTTTTTAAACATGCATGCAATATTTAGGATTTTCCTTTTAATATGACATTGCTAAGATGTGTCCGGTTTTTGCTTCTTGCTGCACCTTTTTGACGGTTACATACTATTCCATTGACAACTTCACTGACTAGGTGGGCTCTGGGTAGCTCCCGTTATCAACACTACTGTCTTAACATACCTGTCTCCCACATACATGTGAACCAGCTTCTCTTGATATAGACCTAGGAGTTCAAATGTTGGGCTAGAAGCAGTGTATGTTCACCTGGAGGAGAAAATCCCAAACACCTTCCAAAGCCATTCTCTAAAACAAAAGTGTTTCACAATTTTCAGTGTTTGTTAAAACCTTACCTGGTGTCCCAGCCCTATAATCTCAGCCCCTTGGGAGGCCGAGGGAGGAAGGTAAAATGGTCAAGGCCAGACTGCGCAATTCATTTTGACTTCATATCAAAATCAAAAGTAAAAAGAGGGCTGGAGATGTAGCTCAGTGGTAGTGCATTTGCCTAGCATGCATGATACCCTGGGTTCAATCCCCAGTGCCCCAAACCAAAATAACCCTACCTGGATTCTCACCTGACCCTGCACACCCCATCATGCCTACAGCCCCAACCAATGCGGAGCACTAAGCCTGGTTCCCGTCCACTGCTGTGGAACTCCGCAATCGCCCCGATTCTCACCCCACCCTCTTCTCTACAGCCCAAATGGGTTCAGGGTAAAGAGCTTGACCCTTCCCTTCCCCAGACTGTCACTGAGAAAGAGCTGTTAGCGTTAGGTGCAGTGGACATGTGTCCAGTGCTGCCTGGCCCTGCTGCCTTGTTGGGCACACACCGTCTCAGGAAACCTGGCCATGCTCTCTGGTGCTTTCCTCCACTAAGCCTCACAGAAGGGGTGAGGCACAGGAAGCGGCCTCATCTCCTGGAATAATTCTCCACAAGTCATTGATTAATATGTTCATAATAATCACAGCTTTTTCCTGTTCACCGGAACCCGTTAGAGAGGGCAGATCACTCTGTATAAGAGACCTAGGTGTTGGGTCGAGGAAACAAACTCACTATTCAACAAACCCTGCCTGGAGTTCTAGTTATAGCTAGCACAATACAGGAGAATGTACATGTCAATTTGTTTTTGTTTTGAGACAGGGTCTCACTCTGTAGCCCAGACTGCCCAGAACTCACAGCAATTCTCCTGCCTCAGCACTCTGGGTGCTGGGATTACAGCATACATGAGCCATTATATCTAACATCAGTGTCATTTAAATAAAAAAAATTGTGTGTGTGTGTGTTGAGATATGTATGTATGTGTGTATGTTGAGATGTGTGTGTTGAGATGTGTGTTTGTTTATGTGTGTGTGTTGAGATGATGATGATGATGATGATGATGTGTGTGTGTGTGTGTGTGTGTGTGTGTGTGTGTGTGTGTCTATGCATGTGTCTACAGTCACAGCACTGTATGTATGGAGGTCAGAGGACAACTCTCTGAGGTCCGTTCTCTCCTTCCACTGTGGCTTCCAGGAATAGAACTGAGGTCATCAGGCTTATGTGAGACGTGCCTTTACCCGCTGAGCCATCACACCAGTCCTAATACCAACGTCTTACACAAACAAACCTTTTGGTGCAGCTCACGCCAGGCAGTTAAGTATCTGCACTTGTCATTTACTTGATCTTCCCGACAGCCGAATGGAGCATTAGTCCATTTCGTGTGGAGGAGGAAGCAGGCTGAGAGAGGCGTGCACTGGGTGTGGACATGAGCCCACAAGCTCAAGTTCTTAGGATTTTCAGGGATGATGTGACACAGAAGATTATCTTGACTTAGTTCAGAAGTGAACACGGTGCCAACTTGGGGATTAGACAGTGAAACGGTCCACACTTTGAGCAGTTAAAGATCAACGGAGATTGCGTTTCCCTTGACGCCGAAGGGGACGGTACAGGATGGCACAGGACGGCACAGGCCCAGCTCTGATCTCCCTGCCACAGTCCTTTGGCTAAGATTCCCTCAGCTCCTTCAGCAACAGCCTCCATTTTTGTTTGCTCTTTAATCTCTCCATCCAGCACCTGAGCACATTTCCTAAGGACATCGCTCCTGGACCCTCTCTCATCCTTGTGGGAACTCTAACAGGCCCCTGAATAACTGGCGTTTAGAAGAGAGGGCAGAAGAAACAGAAACAGGAAGACAGACATTCTGAGGGAACAGCTTGTGCCATTAATTAACACTCCAACTGCAATCTAAAAGTTATGCAAAAATGCCTACAAATGATGCAAAAACATTTTAAATAGGATATACCAGGAATAGCAACTTTAGTGAGATTAAGACTAAAGAAATGCAAACAGCATCTGGAAGAGGCTGTTTAGTGTGTCCAGTAATTATGCATTAGATTAAGTTTCG